GGGGGGGGGGGGGGGCAAGGGCCCAAAGGAGAGAGCGGAGGGAGTTGGCCACTAAGCGGATGAAAGGATGAGCGGATGGGGAAACGCGTGAGACGGAAGGAGAGGTGCCAGAGCTCCGGGTGATGGTGTCGTCGAGTCGCCGTGTCAAGTGAAGCGCAAATATAGCGCCGCCGTCTGTGTGATATAGTGCCAACTGTTGGCTATTTCTTTGGCGGCTGTTTGTCTAGCGGAAAACTCGGGTGTCGGGCCCTCGCTTTGGTGACAAAGGGCAAAGGTGGGCAGTCAGTGAGGAGCAGACAGATATCGGCGAAAAGACGAGTCTAAGCAGCCGCGTGGCGGCACGGCGCCACTGCGATCGTCCAACGTTGGCGACGGGGTCTCTGGCACTTGCAGTATCATGATCGTCCCTCGAATAGAAACCCAATCCAGGGATTCCCCTCATCTTCAGCTGTTCTGTTATGCCTCTCTCACTTTCCGGTTGCTCAGTGTCCCAACGCCAGAAGAAGAAAAAATAGAAGCAGATCGCACGGGATCGTCGTACCCAAGCGGATCCCGCACCTACGGGTGACAATTCCAAGTCAGAGAGCCCTTCCCAACGAGACGGTTAGCTTGGATGGGGGATGGCTGCGTTGCATTCGTCTCTGGGTGGGTTCCGATCCGGAACGCAGCGACGCCGTGGTGGCTTGCCTCGAGATACCTAACCTTGCCAGACCCTGACCGTTGGCCGTCGGCCAGCAGAGCCTAAGGAGTGAGTGAGAGGGAGAGGAACATAAAGGAAGGGAACCCGGACCTCAGTTCACGCATCCCCAAGTTGGTTCCCAAAGGGGAAGCACGCCGGTCGTCCATGTGGGCTACCTGCTGTGCCAGCAGCTAGCTACCTTCCTGGTTCCGTGAGGGTAATTTGGGCCTGATGGGCTAACACCAGCAGCCAGTAGCGTAGATTGGTCCTTAACCCCACATCATGTGCGCCGCCAGTCACGATTTAGGACGTTTCAGAACCTTTCAGGGGGGAGGGGGGTTGGCTCTGGACAAGCAGATCAGGAAGCAGCCACTCAGATGCCGAGCTTCCGTTGACTGCAGGGGCTTTCGGATGAGATCCGCAACCTCCTCCACTTCTCCAACTACTCAGACCAACCATAAAAGGTTTACGCCACATCCCGCCAGCCCCTGCCCCCTGGATTTCATCTCTCATTGACCCCACGGGATACCGCATCCTTCCCGAACTTCCCCCCGAAGACAGTCATCACTTCCTCTTCGTCCTCGGTCGGTGGTAAGGCAAGTAAGTGGTCACGAACGGCGGCCCCTTCACCTGTCATGTCAGTGTCAACTCATCATTCAGGCTCGTCCAGTTCATCTCATACCTCCAAAGCTTGTGAGAACTGAGCAAACAGAGGGATGAACTACAGAAGGCGGCCTGTGTTCTCCTTTTCATCCTGTCCTGTGGCAGATGCAGCAACAAAGGACACGCGAGAAAGGTACCGTGATTAAATGCATATTCCGTATCCAGAAGACTGCACGTGGACTTGGGACCCCTCTCAATCACACAATGCTTTGTACTATGATTTTCGAGTCGGTAAACTTTTTAGATGCCCCTTTTGGCTTAGACTTATGTTCCCCATCCTCTCTGTTTACTGTGCGTGACGAGACAGTTTGCCAAAGGGGAAATAACTGCTCCATCCCGTCTGTTTTCCTCCGCGCGCCATGTCCGCTTCCTTGAGCCAACGCAGCGGCCCAAGGTGCCAAGGTACAGGATACCCCGGCTTTCCAGTCACGCTCAATGCGCCGCGGGAATTCCGAAAAAGTGGCACCGGATGGAGAAGATATACAGGGTGGCAGGGGTAAGTTTTTTCCTCCTATGATGTTATCCCCCATAGCTGACATCATGATAGAGGGGGAATATTCACCAAAAGTGAAGTTCTGTAGTAGGGGGGTGAGCATTAGTTACCTAACAGGGGGGAAAACTTCGGCCGGATACCATCGTATATAATTAAAAAAATAAAAAAAAACCACTGTACAAACGAGACTTGCGGATAGGCCAAAGGCAGAAGCCAACGAAACCCCATCGCTTGCAAGTGAGACACGAACCGCTTAGCATTGTACGACTCATGCAGTTGCACTAGAAAGCAAAAGAGAGAGAGAGAGAGAGAGAGAGAATCCCCAATCTGATCAGGGGTTCCATAACGAGATTGAACATCGAGAAGCCAGCAAAGGTGATCAACTGCCAACAATACGTCAAGTACCACAGACCGTCCCCCCGTAATATGAGGCATGAGACAAGGGACGGCAAAAACGACGCAGGGCCTGATCTTGGCAAGGGTCGTTCACTACGCTTTAGGTTGACCGTTTTTCCCCCTTTTCTGCAGATCACCATTAACGAACCAGGGCCACGGCGAAAGGATATTCTATCGGCCCCATTTGTACGTCATGGAGAATCAACCCAAATTTGGTTGTTGCGGCCAGGCAGTACTCGTGAATCAAGCTAGTCGGTCAGCCCGCGCTCCGTGCTGCGACGTGCCACAGAAGCTTCGTGATACCACGACCCGTTTGTTTCCCTACTCGACTCGGAAGCGTCCATTGGAAGATGATATGAGTCGAGAAACGTCCCATCGTCGCCTCTTGCTAAGGTTGCGAGTTGAACAGCAAACAACACTACACTACGATCAAGGGCACGGCCCGCCTTCACGCAACGCAACGTAGCGCGGCCCTCCATTGTTCTAAACCCCCAAATCATCGGCTTCTTGCAATTGACATCCCCCCAACCACCAGCCCCGGAAAGTGGCTCTCATACTCCAAGCGCACATCCCAACCTCATGAGGAGCGTACAATGTCACCAAGCCTTCCTCGATGCCCTCATTGCGAGCCCGTGCCCTTTCCCAAGGTACAATCAACCGTGCACCCCCGCCCGTCCGTCCATCTACCGTGAACCCCTAAAAATGATGAGGTTGGGCACTTGCAAGAAACCGCTTCATCAATGTAGGTAGGGAGCAATCAGACAAGCTGATAATGCCCCCCCCTTGACAACCCAAGAGTACCGTACGCGCTGGCCTGTGCAGGCTTAAGTTAACAATAGATACAGTTATAGCTAATAGATAAGGGTATAGATAGAAGGAAAAAGGGGAAACAGAGGTAAAAAACAAAAGGGTTAGTCTTAGCCTATCCTAACCTAGAGCGTAGTAAAAGAAGTAAGGTAAGATAAACTATTCTAACTCTCCCTAGTAGAGCTGTTTTAGAATTACCTATAAAAAAAAAGTTAAAAAAAGTTGAAAAAAGCTAGAGTTAAACCTAAAGCCTTTAGATTATTAAGAGTACTACTTACTACTAGACTATATAAAGCAAGAAGAATAAAAATTTCTATTTCTTTTAGACTCATAGACCCTTTTAATATAAAGACGTATTTATTAGTTAGAACCTTATTATATACTTTACTATTAGGATAACCCTATTAGCTACTATATATAGTACTCTTAGGTTGTTAGGGGGGGGGGGGGGGGGATTATTAGCTTGTCTGTAGACTTGTAGGAGGTATATAACCCCCCCCCCCCCCCCCCCAAAACCTCGACCCAAAAATTCCGTTGCCCAAAAGGTAATTCCGCCGCGCCTCTAAAAACCTCTTGCCAAACCCCAACCCAAAAAAACACCTTAAAAAAAACTCCCCTTCCCAAAAAACGGCGAAGCAGGAGAAGAATGTTCCCCCCGCCCCCCCTTCCCCGGTTCTCAACCCCCCCCAAAAAACAAAGAAA